CACATAGAGAGACACATATCTGAATACCCACAAAAAAATTAGAGAGAGAGAGATGCATACCTGAGAGTTGTCGGAGAGAGATTTGAACTTGCGAGGTCGATCGATTCGATGAGAGAGTGAGGTTGATCGGTCGATCTTACAATGAGAGAGAGTCGATCTTGCGAGGCCAATCGGTGCAGATGAAAAACGAGAGAGTGAGAGACTAATAAGATAAAAGTAAAGAAAGAGCTGCACAACAGATATGTTTTTGAGTTTGAGAGATTAGATTAGGATTTTTAGTTTTGTTTGTTTGGATATAGATGAAGTGAAGATGAACAGTCCATATTTGAAAAATAAAATAAAAAATGTTAATGCGGGTGGGTTGGGCGGGTGCGGTTCAAACCTGCAACCCTAAAATCTGCCAAAATCCAAACCACACCCCACCCTAATGTATTTGCGAAACCTCATTTGTGTGCGGGTTAGATCAGGTAGTACGGTTTGGGCAGGTAGGATAACCCTATGTCCAGCCCTATATATATATCGTGACTAATATATATATAAACTGGATTGAAATTGACGGAGATGACATAAATCAGTGGGAAGAGAAGGCGCGGATTTGAGGCGATGATAGAGTCCAAATCTGAGATATAAGAGCATGATGATGCGGAGGAGGGTGGCGGAATCTAGATCTTAAACGGTGGTGGAGATCGGAGAGAGATGTGGTGCAGTGGGTGTTTAGGAGAAAAAGAGAGAAATGGCGGCGAAGAAGGCCCCTCCCGTCTTGTCACATCCCTTAGCAGTTAGCATCATCGATTACGTCGCCACCGCAGAGTCCTGATGCGGCCGCAATAAGCAAGTTGTGGTGGGCAGCTCAATCGGCGCCAAAGATGTCTCTGCCATTTGGCAAATTCTAGAAAAAGAAAGTGTAGTGAGTGGATGAGGTGCAGAGAAGAGGAGAAGAGAGGTGAGAGAGATGGTGAGAGGCTTAGATATGTTTTGACCGTATATACCATACATATACATGGATATTCTGATCATTTTGTGGAAACTTGTCCTCATAGACAAAATATTTTAGAGTGTAAACTTTTGGATAAAGAAAATTCAAAATTGAATTTATGGAATGAGTGCCTTTTTAATTTTTAATCTTTTTTAAAAAATAACCTAAGAAAAATTTACAAAATTATTGTGAAGATGGTGTATATCATGAGTCCAAATTATCTACCGCCCTTTCCTACGGCCCTTCCTGCGGTGCTCGCCAAAACGACGTCGTCTTGGAGAAAACGACGTCGTTTTACTTAGTGTTTTTTTTTTCTCTTCAAAATTTGAGTTTCCCCCCATTTTTTTTTCTCTTCCATCTCTTTTTCTATCATCTGTGTTTAGCCCTAACAGAAGAGAAAAGAGACGCGAGATAGAGAGAGAGAGAGAGAGAGAGAGAGAACGACAAAGAGATGAATTGAGAGAGATGGAGAGGCAAACACAACGGAGAGAGATGGCGGAGGGATGCGATGGCGAAGAACAAAGGATGGGTGGCGATGCTGAGTCCGATAGCGATGCAATGGTGGCAAGGCGAGATTGCGGCCATGACGAGGTCCATTTCATCATCATTGTCATTTCTTGCTGTTATATACATATATACGTATATATGATTGTTGGGTTGGAGTTCCACTGTTGATTTTTGATAAAATGGGTTTTGTGGGAGCCGAATTTCATCAGATCCATAGGGACAAATGAGCGTGTCTGGTCCAGAACGTAACCTCTATTCGGCACATACCCTAGTCAATCGAAGAGCCAAATAAAATAACCAGTACCGCAGCTAGTAGAACAAAGGCCGAGTAGAGGCACATATAACAGATCAAGGATGGGCCCAGCCCAAAGGCCCAAAGAGAATACTATAAATACGGGATCACCCATCAGAGAAAGGTATGTGAGAACTATTATTCTTAACTTAGAATACAAGTAATCCTGAGTGAGAGACTGACTTGCCCGTCGGAGTGCTAATTCCAGCACCCCCGACCGGAGTGTTCATTCCTTTTCAGGTGATTAGCAGAGGATCACGAGCGTCCCCCAGGATCAGAAGAGTATTTTCAAACCACTTCTTCACAGGTTTGATGAAAAATGGAAAACAATATATATATATATATATATATTTCCACTTCTTTCCCTTTTCCCCTATTTTCCCTTTCTCTCTCATTGATGTGAACCCTAACCATCAAAGAAGAACATGAACAGAGAAGAGGAGAAAGACGAAACGAAAGGAGTAGAGTAAGAGGACGCCGGCAGCGGCGGGCGATTGCTTTCAATTTGAAGGTCCAAAATGCTTATTTGTGAATAAAATTCTCTATTTTATCATTAATAAATGAACAGATTGAGGACAACATTGAAATGAAGCAAAAATTCTATTTTAGATTTGTTGTTGATTTCTTGGGTTAAATTTATTGTTGATTTAAGTGATTTGATTTATTGGGTATTATTGGTTTCTATAAAATTGTGTTTTGAAGCAAAAATCTGTTTTGGTTTGGTCAATTTGAAGCAAAAATATGTTTTGATTTGTAATAGAAAAAGCAAAAAATAAGGTAGGGAGTTATCAAATGATCAAAACTTTCAAAAACCCTAGATGGAATCATGGTGCATGTAAAATGTTGGTTATTTTGCATCATCTTATAAATTTGTTTTCCATTAAAAAAATAAAAATCTGTTTTGCGCTTATAATTTTTTTTTTTTTTTTTCCATCAATGAGCATTCATGTGATTTTGCAAACTAGCTTTTATTTTTTGCCCTTAGTCTTGTGTATTTTTTTTTTAATTTTTAGTTTAATGCTCAATATGTAACAAAGTGTGGCAATTGAGGATTGTGTTTTAATAGCTAAGCCCTTGTTAGTAAGTAATTTAATCTGGACACTAAATTTTTCATGTTTGCATGCAGGTTAAACTTTGTGGTCATGAAACCTTTGCAGCTTCACACTTTCTATTCACTTCTAATTTGGTAAATTCCAACAAAATCGAGTTTCTGACACTTTTTGGAGTTTTGACTACTAAAAGAGAGTTCCAGAATCACAAGATTGCTTTTTAATTGAGTTGGATTTGCCAATCTTCGCTTTTATGAACAAATTTGAAATAAAAGGTTGATAATGTTTGGAAGATTCGCTTTCAATTTCTATTAAAGCTTTTGCCGTCAAAGTTAATTTTACTCCTTGTAAATTTTTGTACTAGACATCTTCTGTAAAATTATATTTTGCCCTATTCAACATAAATTTGTATCTCTACTATCTGTAATGGAAATTCTCTTTCTTGTTACTTCTGACTACTATAACAAAACCTGTTAATATTTCCTTCAATTCACTCTCATAAAATTGACATGGAAATAGGAAATTCAATGAGATATAATCTTCATTTGAAATAGCAGTCAAGTTGATCCAAGAGGGGGATAAATGTGAACTCTACTTGAAGAATCAAGAATTATCTCCATATCTCATATTCGCAGAGCAGAAAATCAATATGTAGATGCCATGACTAACGCTAGAACTGACCCTCTCTATTTGTGTTTGTGTTTGAAACTTTGATTATGTTTGTCAATTACTCTTTTCAATTAAAAATAACATTGTAGACTATTTCTTCTTCCACTATTAGAGTTAATTACATCTCCATTGGCAGCAACATCATCACTACCACTTTCATTGCAACAGTCAAGACCACAACAAAAAAATAAAATAAAAAATCCACTAGTATATGAAGAAAATTAACAAGAAAGGACAAGGAACTTGTTAACCAAAGTGAAACAATTATATTCAATCAAACATTTTTACAAGCACTTGCAGTGCATCTTAGAAATCCAAATTTCAAACCAAATACTAAGTACATCATACCACCCAGATTTCAAAACAAATAAAATAAATAAAAACAAGCAATTAATTGCAAAGATTGCAAATTGTAGCCTCAAGATTGCAAACCCCTCCATCGATTCTTTGTCTTCCCTTTCCATCTAATCTTCTATGGCGTCCAGGTTTAGATTTGATGCCAAAGATTGCAAATTGCAGCCTCACAATGCTCTTTACAGGCCAACGACTTGCTTACTTGCAAGGAAGCTTCAAATCCATTTGTGTATGTGTTGATTTTTTATTTGTGCCTGTAACAACCCCATCGCGTAATATTTTATATTTAATTAATGATGGAGATTTGAATTTTATGGCCTACTATTCTGATTTAATTTGGGAATTATGAAAATTATAGAGACTGATTTGTATACAATTTTATAGGAGATTTATGTTGGAGTTAGAACTTGAAAGCCTAAGTGGTTCAAGAAAGAATAATTAATGATTTTGCCTTCTTTTAATTTTGAGTATCGGACCATATGGGGGTTTAATTAAATATTCGGTTCAGAATTGTAAAATTGAGATTTGATTAATTGTATCCGAATTGGAGTTAATTATGTTATGAGGAGTAGATATTAAGGTTATTGTGGATTAATTTGTTTACGAGGTATTTAATCTGAGTATGTAAATTATTACCGAAGACCTTGAGCTGACCTGAAATTGAGGGCCTTACTGATGTGAGAAATCACAATTGATGATGAGAATAAGCTTAATTTGATATTTAGAGACTTTTGGGAGTTTGATTAAAAATCTGATTCGGATGGATAAATTTAAGTATAATTAATTGGTTTCTAATGGAAGTCAAATTAGGTTACTTAAATTATGTGGGACTTACGATTAATTATGATTTTATGTTGTTGATATGGAATTGCATGTGTAAGGATGTGCATATTAAGGATTTGAAGTTGTATATGTCGGTTATAAGAAAATATGTTGAAATTGTGACATTTGGACTGAAAATTGAAAGCCTTAGAGGCGCGATAAACCGAAACCGACCACATATTTGTAATCAGCATGATTTTTGGAGCCATTTGGGAAGTTTAATTGAAAATTGATTTCATTTGATTCGTAAGGGTGCGTTTGGTTCTCCCTAATTGTGATAAGCTTATATATAGATATATGTGTGATATATGAGTTAAACTCATCACTTTTGGAGCCCAAAAATATCTAAGGGAGAAAGAGAGGGAGAGAGAGAGAGACACGAGAGAGAAAGAGAGTTCTAGAGAGAACTCAAAGAGAAGAAGGGAGAAAGTGTAGGAATGAAAGAGGAAATCCAAGATTTAGCTGGAATTCACCATGGTTATGCAAGAACATGTGGTGTTAAAGGTTTAAGGTAAGATTTCCCCTCTCAATACTTGAAGATCATAAGCTAAAGAGTGAGTTTCATGGGTTATATATGATTAGATGTATGCATTTTGTTTCATTAAGCAAGAAGATGTTGAATCTTTGTACATAGCATGAATTTATATTCACAACTTGATTTCTTGTAGAAGTGTTATGGTTCTTAAAGAGGCTAAAGAGGATTTCACCATGTAAGTGAGCTTGGAACTCCCAACCATGTATACTTTATGATTTTGTGTTTTGATTCGCAACCTTTTTCTTGTAAATGGGAAATTGAGTATTGTTTTGGAGTTATGATTTTTGATGGAAGCTAAGGATGTGAAATTTAAAATGTGTTAAAGAGTTTAGGGCTCTGATTTACATGAAGTTGAAGTTTAATTTTGAAAATGAAGGGTTCCAAGTCAAGAAGCCATTTTCGGACTGATTTTTACCCAGTCCCGTATGTGCCTTGGGATTTCCCACACGTGCGGCCAATAGTGTCCCCCACAAAGTTACATTCAGAAATAAAAGCACGTGCTCATGCATGTGCCCTGGATTTCCTGCACATGCGGATTTGGTCCCGCACGTGCGGCACTTTTCTATTTCAACTCAACTTCAAATAAGTATATATCTCTCATCCGGACTCCGTTTTAAGTGATTCTTGAGCCTAAATTCAAGCCCCGGAAGTCTAATTTCTAATGGTGGTGGTATCACTCCCAAATTATAAATACACAAATAGATATGCCCAAATTAGTGAAGGTTGTTCACTTTCTGTCTACTGATTTTATATCATTTCTTCTTCTAACCCAGGTTCCTTTCGTTTTCTCCTATTTTCCTACACACGGATTATGACCTACTGAGGACTAATGAGTTTAGAACCAACATAACCAATTGATTAAAGAGAAAAGAAAATGATCGATTATATTCATACGTTGTGTTATGTAATTGTGGTTGTAGGTCAAGACGAAGACATTGTCCAACTGTTACCGAAAGCCCATCACTGTGAGTAATAGTATAGTAAATATATGTTTTTCATTATCTATTTTGACTAATGTGTGTCATGATTCTCTAAATATCGTATTTTGTTAATGCGTGACATGATTCTCTAAATGTCGTATTTTGTTAAAGTACACAAGCCAAGGAAAGTAAAATGAGTCATGAATAAAAAATATGAATTGTTTATAATATGATATGGTGGGCCCAAGGCCGTTCTGTTTATCTGTTCCACTTATGCTACGACATGATATGAATTGTTCAGTCTTTAAGACCTAATCATTTTGGTATGGAACAAAGTGTTATACGGAACTAAGTGCTACAGTGTGAGTTACCTCCAGGGTCCATACGAGACACTTCTTGGGTCCATACATACATGAATTGGGCCCAAGGAGAGGCGGAGACATATCCATGTTCCATTTACTCCATGATCAGACACGGTGATGCGATATGATATGTTTCGACCTAAGATCGTTTGATATATGATTGGGCCCAAGGCCGTTTTGTTATATATGGACCCGAGGTCGTTTCGAAACTATGATATAAACATGAATGGTTTTACATCGTTATATGACCCACGTTTACGAAATGTTATTTGATGTGCATGAATGGATGTCCTATTTTGAAATGTGATTCTGGTATCACATACCACGCAAAATGTTTTGTGATGATTTCAAATATACATTCCATTTGAGAAAGCATGGATTTTGATACAATAATGTTTGTTTTAGCGAGATTTAAGTTACATAATTTCATAATTGTGAAATATGTTTTCTTAATGTTGAGGACATCATTCATTAACATCTTTACTTTAATATTACTCACTGGGCGTTAGCTTATCCTTTTATTTTATATATATGTAGGTGAGCCATCGGGGATCAACACTAGAGTTTGTACCGAGGTTCGCCTCTCTGTCAAGCCACCCGAGAAGTGTCTCCGTGTAGAGATATAGTATAAGTTACCAAGCTTAGGTTTGTTCAGGCTATGATGGCTTTTGTTGCGTATTAGGTTCATATGTAATTTTGGGTTGAGAACTTTTGCCTATACTTATATGTCTTGGACAGTATATACATGAACTGCGTATGTGATATTTGTATAAATGATGTAATGTTTAGGATCCTGGCATTTAAGCATTGCTCAATAGATGTTCTGTTGTTATTTTTGGTATCTGCTTTCGCTTAAGGCCCTGTATTTAAATAAATATTATTTTGAAATTTTGTTTTGAGGCCTAAGTACAGGCCAGTCACGGACCAAACTTTTAGGGGCAGGTTTGGGTCGTGACAGTGCCACTCGTTGACTTGTGGGTATTGCTTAAGCTTCAAATCCAAAAGTGTTGAAAACATGTGGTCCATTTATCTTCTGTAGTGTGTTCCCCCAGCCAAACTAAATTCAAACACCGTTATGTTTCTTTCCTTGGAAATCAGTCCAGATAATATGGAACAATAAAATGCAAAAACCAATAACATAAAAATAAGAAAATTACTCATTATAATAAAGACCAAAGGGAGAGAATATATCAGTAACACAAATTATAATGAAGACTAAAGGGAGAGAAATGGACCTCGTCGCTGCCTTGCCACCGTCGCTTTCTCTGTTCGTCTCTCACCGCCTTTCTCTGTTCGTTTCAATAACAAAAAATAATAATGAAGACCAAATATATATATATATATATATATCAGTAACAAAATATCCACAAATGGACCTCATCATCGCCGTCGCCTCTCTTTGTCTCGCCACTGTCGCCTTGCTGCAAGAGTCACGTCAATTGATCGCCTCGCCTCACTGCCTCTGTTCGCCTCTCACCGCCACCTCTCCTCACCTCACGGCCGCCTCTCCTTGCCTCGCCTCGCCTCGCCTCCGTCACCTCGCTGTGGAAACCACATTGCCCACCCCGTAGCCCTCTCCGTTCGCCACCTCTCTGTTTGTCTCTCTGAAAGGGGTTAGGGTTCAAAACTGAAAATGAGACTGAAAAGTAAAATAAGAAAAGAAAGGGGAAAAAAAAAAGAAAGATCCAAAACGGCGCCTTTTTTGAGCCACTGCAAGAAGCATCACAAGAAAGTGCGGCAAATGATCTGGACTTGTGTATCATTCCACTTTCTTATGCTTTGGCTAGAATATTGACCAAAAAAAAAAAGTAAAAGGTCAAATATGAGGTGCTATACTTGATTGTACTCTGTTGTTATGTTCCTCGAAAACCTCATTGGGATTCTTCCCACTAATTAAATTTTACATGGTCGGATTATCCTCCTTTCATTTTAAAAAAAAAATGTCACACTAGAATTTTGAAAAAATAATTATTAATTAATAAAAAAATTATAAATAGTAATAATTAAAATTGTAAAACTTTTCATGAATATATAATTTTTTTCCCTAAATTTCATTGGTGTGTAATTACCCCTTAAAATTTGTAATTTATAAATTGAAATGTACTGTTAGATCCATTAACAATTTAATAAAAAATATTAAAATATTTTTGTATATAAGTAATCTAAGTGTATGAATTACGAATATTTTCATCTTCATCATTTGATTGAGAGGTAAAATGCACTTTAACCCTTATATTTTATTCTATATGTGGTTTATTTCTTTGATATTTGAAAATGAGTATATAACCCCTTGATATATGTTTCATATTTGTTGTTAAGTTAGATGAAATGTTTAACGATATACTTCAGCCCATAAACCATAAGAGAAATTATTTTTAAATGAGAGAGAGTAAAGTGAAATTTGTCCTAAAATTAATTGAGACAAATTATGTATATGATCTTTATAGTTATTTTTATGTTAATTTAGAAGTGTTAGTTTTTGCTTGATTTTCTTACATTGTTAATTTAATTTAATTGATAATATTTATTAATAAATTAAATAGAAATGATTAATGCAAAAAGAAATTGATCTTTTGAAATTAAATGTCAACCCTTTAATTATTTTAAAGTCTAAAAGATATTTATGAATTGAACTAAATTAATACAATATAAAAAATTAAATATAAAATTAAATAATTAAAATTACAAAAATTAAATTAACATAAGAAATAAATTACATATCGTATTAGTGTAATCTTCCAAATTAATTTCCTTTCTATATTCTCCCAAAATAAATTTGTTCACACATAGTATATAAACAATGCACACTATTTATCAGTCTAAAATCGCGACATTCATAATAAAAAAATGTATTAATCTATCTAAACTTGTGGCTCTTTAAAATTTTAAATCAATCAAAATACATATTTTGTACACAACCCATTAAACAAAAGAAAAACAAATTAATTAAATCAAGGTCTTTCACTTATTAGTAGTTGTGTAGCACCACTTAGATGTGTGATTACATTATGGGTACAAACCTTATGAAGAGGAGTTTGATATCCTTGATTATTTTTTCTTAATTATGAGAGTTACATGGAATGATTGTTGGACTTGGAGGTAATTGTTGAGTTGGTCTATGTGGTTTATTTGTGTTGATTAGTGTGCTTGTAGATATGCAAAAAAAAATTCACTATAATTATCTAATTTTATGTAATTATTTTCATATATGTAATTAATCTCATATCAATTGACAAAAAAAAAAAGAAAGGAAAAGAAAGAAAGAAACCAATTTAAATAGATAAATTATACTCACCTCCCCTAAGATTGAAAAAAATACAGTTAATCATATAGTTTACACATTGTTACACCGATATCTCTTTTAGTAAAATTAAAATGACTACAACTAATGTAGGTGGTAGGAAAATATTAAAATAAAAAAAGACAAATATATATTTGAGCATTTTTTCATTGATACAACTAATAAAATATTGAGAAAAAAGGTCCAACTATTATATAAATTAAATGGTTGTTTGAGGTGTTTTAAATAAGTGTACTTTTTATCTTTTTAGACTAAAGAGTTGAGAAAAAAAATATGGATATTTGGGTTAACTTTTTTACTTTTTATGAAAAAATGTGTATTAAAAAACTGTATAAATTAGTGTGTAGGGGAAAATTAGGATTGGGAGTTGTGCAGCCGTAATTTTTGACTTTTGGTGAATAGTGATAACTTTTTAACTTTTTGAATAACTTTTTGGCTTTTTGAATTTTTCGAATGATGCCAAACTTCGCCTAATTTCTCAAGACAGCTAGTGTAATTATGTTAAAAATGTGAGGCTAACCTTATTTTTCTCAAACCTCAAGGGAGGTGAGTGTAATTTACCAACCAAAATATATATATATTTTTTGTTTTTATTTTTGTTTTGTTTTGTTTTGTTTTGTTTTGTTTTTTTTTTTTTTGAGAAAGATGAAAAGTAATTATTAAGATAAAACAAATAACATACAAAGTGAGAGGGAAATTTATATGAAAAGTGGGCCGACTTGAAGATTAGTCCGGTCCCAGAGCCTTGAAGTTAGTTCGGTTCCAGACGGCCCTAAAGTTAATCTGGACCCAGAGAACCTAGTGTTATCTCGGTCCGGGAGAGTACTACGGGTAGCTCGGTCGCCAGGATGCCGCACACAGAGTTAGTCCGGTCACAGTATAGCGTAGCTAGCTCTATCAGACCTAGCTAATGGTTAGCACGGTCTAAACAATACTAAGGTCAACGCTGGGAAAGCTGTGGTAGGAGCAGTGAATGGAAGAACCGAGGTAGAGTTATCTCGGTCTAGTCAGCGGCTTAGCATAGCCATGCTTACCTCGGTCATGTTGGAGTTTGGCCACGGTAAAACCATCTCACTTGGTTTAAGCAGTGAGGGGGGTGCTGAAGGATAAGCATTATCTTTTAGGAGTATGAATCCTAGGAGGACTCTACATGGAGGAGTAAGAGTCCTATTACGATCGTGCCACGCGGAACCTATAAAAGCTCATAACATCACCTATGGAGAGGTAACACACAACTTTGATTCTCGAATACACAGAGCTTTTTGTCTTTGTCTATTTTGCTGACTTAGGCATCAGAGAGGTATCCGGCACACACCCGCCGGCTAGCTCACGTTTGTGTTTTAAAGGAGTAAAGCGACAACGTACGGAGAAGCGCAGACTTGATCAACAGGATTATACGAGAAGGTCTATTTCTTTCTCGTACAATTGGCGCCGTCTGTGGGAATTTCAGACAAGAACAAAACCTCTTGATCAAGCTTTTTCCTCTTTAGAATCAATGGCGCACAACGAAGATTTACCACACAGTCCACCATTGATGAACAAACACCAGAAGGAGGTGGGAGGCGCGAAGGTTTGCCTCCTGTCCCTCCCATGGCGGACTTGGAGCCCCAACGACATAACCCCAGGAAGGATGCTAGGGGGAGGCGGAATAACAGCCCCAGTCCCTCTCATTCACAAAGTCCTAACATACAAAAGCGAAGGATTGATCCTCAAGTTTTGGAGGACCGTGTAAAGGAGCAGGACAAATTAATACGACGGATGGCGACGGACATGGAGATTATGAAACGCCAGATGAAGGGAAAAGGAGTGGCGACAGGAGAAGGGTGCAAAAGCAAGACGCCCCCTCGCCGCTCAGAAGACCGTGGAAGGCATTCCACACCATCACAAGCAGAGAGTAGAAGCCTCAGGACAGGCGATACTCAATCCAGAACCTCCAGAACTCGTTACTCCAAGTCTGAGAAAACGAGATCATTGAGGTCTTACACTGAGGGAAGTACCTATCGACCTTTGCGCTCGCACCAGACATCATCCAGGCAGACAGAGTTGCCAAGATCATCCAATTTGTGGATCATGCTGGAAGAAAAGGCACGATGGAAGGAGGATACTAGGGCGCGCAACCCTCGCAGGGTATCGGCCCTTCAGCGATTAGCTCCTCGGACGCATGAAAGCGTCGAGGTCGGAATGCCGTTACCAAGCCCTGCCTACGAACCAACGGACAAAGCATTAGCAAGGCTGCAGACCTTGCCATTCGTTCCGGCAATTGAAAATGCGCCCTTACCTTCAGGCTTCCTTCAGCCCAAATTCACCACGTACGAGGGGAAGACGGACCCCTACATACACCTAAGCCACTTCCGCCAGGTTATGGTGGTATATCGGCGAAACGAGGCTTTGATGTGCATCCTCTTCACATCAAGCCTTGGTGACCTAGGCTTGACTTGGTTCGAAAAACTTCCAGAAGGCAGCATAGCTTCCTGGGCATAATTGGCGGAGGCGTTCGTCACAAGGTTCAGAACGAACACCAAAACTCC